AGCTCAGTCTGTGCCTTTAAGGTGACATCAGGTCTGCAGAACAGCTAGAAAGACCAAACTTACAATGTCTTCAGTGCAGTCCAGAACTGCTGAAATGTTGCCGGATTCCTGTCCCCAAGTTGGCCATAAGAGCTGGTTGTCCACAAAGGCTCTCTTCTGCGTATGTAATGTCATAAGTTGGCACCTCAGTTCATTGATCAATTTCCCATTTCTAAGATAGTGAACCCTGTGACTGTTTGGCTATGATTGCCCTCAAGGGCGAAGGTTTGATTTGAACTTTGGTAGGGACACTGTTGGTCTGGTGTCATTGGTGCTATGCAATATGCATGCCCTTTTTTATGCTCGATGTGAGCATCCGTACTGATAAGAGGAATTCATTGTTAAAAGAGAAAAGCAACATTTTGCTCCATTAATAAAAATGTTATAAGCTCTACACTCATTAGATGCTGTTTATCAATGTTTGAAGTATCACCGGCTCTGATCAATGTGGAATTAGGACTGTTTTCCACTTTGAAAACGGTTTCATTTGAATGACTAATAGAGAAGGTAAATACAGTATTTTCTTTTGAAGATATAGAATTGTGCAGAGTTAAACCCCACTCTAATATTTGTACCTACTATTCTCTCTCTGTATCAGGCAAAATAATACATTCATTAAAATATGAATGTATTTTAATGAAATATTAACTTCATTATAAAAGTTGAACATCTGGGCTGTAGTTACTCTGTGTAGCCCATTACATGTGTTTCATCTGGGGCTGAAAAAAATGGATCATATTAAATGATTATTTCAATAATCGTTAACTAATTTAGTAAGTGATTCATCATTAACTGGAGTATAGAGACTTTAAAACATACAGTAATATAAATGTAAAATGTGCCTTTCCCCACAGAGCAACCCACTTAGATCAGTTATTATATAAAAATTGTAAAAATAAAAACAAAAAAATGAAAACAGTAATATCAACTAAATATCGGTAAAAAGGAAACCCTCACATTTTCTTTTTTAGTTGGCTGTGGCTAAGAATCTGAAATGTTGATGGCTTACAGCCTTTATTTGCCCATTTTGTGTCTTCAGAACTCCTGGCTGACTCAGAATATTTCGTTTTATAAAAGAAAAAAAAAGGGTTTTGTTTTTTAGTGTACATGATATTCATTTTGTTTATTGGGACTAGTTTTGTAGCCTAATATTAATTGTAGTAACCGCTGCATTCTAGTGTGAATAAATTTTCAATGTTGTGCTCCAAGCACACGCAGACTAGAAAACAGCCAATCAGCGAGAGAGAAGGCGGAACTTAAGGCAGAACAACCAATGAGAGTGGAGTTAAACAGCGCAGCACAGTTCCATGCGCTGCTACATGAAAGGGACAGGAGAGACCAGGCAGAGGAGCTGCGAGAGGAACAGAAGCCACTGCTGCAACAACTACTGCTGTAAATTATAAACATGTTGCTCACATCCAATTATTGGTAGGGACAATTAGGTCAGTTCAAAATTTTGGTAGGGACATGTCCCTATGGTCCCTATGCAAACCTACGCCCATGATTGCCCTGCACCATGATGATCCATCCTACATTTCATCTACATTTCTCCAATTGAGTCCTACATCATGTCCCATTTCCTTTTTCCTTCCTTGGGACTTTGAGAAGGATAGTGGCTTATTTTCTGATTGATCTATTGAAATTTAAGGACAGTACAGCCACTAACATTATCTCTATTCTCCTGAGTTTCCTGCAGCTGTTGCTGATCAGTTCCCTGCTTTGCCTGCAGAGCTCATTGAATAAATCTTTTAACCACCTACCACTGTCTCAGTGGAATTTTGTGTCCTCGGTCTAATACCTAACCGAATGTAGTTAAGCAAAAGCCTGTTAATAAGTTATCAATGAAAAGCTGGAAGCAGGGAAAGATTTAAAACCTGCAGGACTATGGTCCTCAAGGGCCAACATTTGGCACCTCTGATCTAGTAGATGTCTGATAATAACAAAAATAATAGTAAATATTTCTCACATTAAATATCAAAGCCCTTAGTGAATAAGCATATAGAATATTCCTGGTCAAGGAATAATTACAAAATAGAAAATATTTTAACAAAATATTTTAACAAAATTGGCTTCATTTGAGATGTATTAAATGATTTGTTAGGTCAATATACAGATCACGCCAGGATTGTAACATTGCACTATAGTGGTGTATTTGTAGACTTCAAATAGTTAAAATAAAATACATTGTAAAGTGATGAGGTGGCCAGTACAGATAGATAACAAGTGGGCCTCTAATTTATTATTAATTAGCATCATCCTGGGTAAGTAAGGTTAAGTGTTTTTTATTCTTCCAATATAACACTCATATGAGTGTTATATTGGAAGAATATATATTTTGCCATATCATCAAAAAGATTTCAAAACTACCTGACCAGACATTTTTTTGATTTTCAGATTTATGTTTCATGTAAATGGGTAAATATGGCCTTTTCTGTAAAGTTAACTCTATGACTTCTCAATCTTAGGTTCAAACTGGCTTGCGACCTTTTTGAAACTTAGCAGAGATTGGTCTGAGCACGGTAACCGAGATAACTGTTGAGTGTAATTGGCATGCACAACTAAACCGGACCGTGCCAGACAGAACTGAACCGCGCTAACATGGTACTAGTGTAGGGCTCGCCACGGTTCAGTTCTGGCTTGGTTCTCAGATAACAAAAAAGCACATGAGCAGACAGTGTCCTTTCCTTACAGTAAGCCTGCCTAATCATGAAATTTTAGACATTCATAACAATACTAGCTTTCTTACCCTGTCACACAATTTCACAGTAATGATTCTGCTTAGCAGTGTGTTGAGCCTCAATGTCAGTCGTTGTTTCCTGCATCTGTAAGCCCTGACTAGTGGTTAAATCATTACATATGGTTGTTTAATAAATGGAAAACAAAGTATGGTTTAACTATAGATGTTATAACAATTATTTACCAACAATGATGTTGTATTTTGTTCTATAAAATGGCTGCCTTATCGGATTTTCAGAGGCATTTTCCTCCCAAATACACAGAATTCAGATCTCTTCAACATCCAGCAAGGTAGTTGTCATTATAGCACTGACATGGCAGTTTGGAGGGATTTTGGAAAGGTGTATTTGAGGCATTATCTACTGTTCTGGGTGTTGAGATTCCCCTTAATCCTCTAATCGCACTATTTGGGGTAACTTCTGAGGGAGTACTCCCGGGGGGGACTCGACTACCAGTCGGAGGTCACAAAGTGATAGCTTTTTCTACTCTACTGGCACGTCGTCTTATCCTTTTAAAGTGGAAAGACCCTCTACCACCGTCACTGTCTCACTGGACTAAAGAGGTCTTACTGAACCTCAAACTTGAAAAAATCAGATATTCGCTACGTGGTTCTGAACAGAAATTTCTAAAGGTCTGGAAACCCTTTTTTATTTTTTTTGATAACCCAGCAACATTGGTATAGTCCTTGATGGCTGTCTTTTATTTCTTAATTTTTACTTTCGTACTGTATTTGTATTTTGAAACGTACAACTTCTCTCTGTGATCTGGCATGTCAGTGCAATGTTTTGCTTTTACGGTGACAGCTGGGGTGGGTGGGATATTGGGGTTCTTTATTGTTTTGTATTTTCTTGCAAAAAAAATTCAATAAATATATTTAAACACGACATGGCTTGCTTTGTTTGTTTAACTTTCTCTATTGATTTTACTGAAATTGTTTATGTAAACCTTTTTAACACTCATTTGAAGCCTGGAATCACCCGAGCCTTAACCTTTGGCTTTTTGGTTACTTTATTTCATAGGTAAGGACGATTTTCTGCTCTTTTTATTTTTCAGTGCATCTGCTTGTTTGTGTTTGCCTTCATAGTTGGAAGGGTACTTTTTCAATCAGCTAGGATTTTGATTAAACTTCAATGTATTATTATTATTATGGTTAGTATTTTTATTATTAGTAGTAATATTATAAGTATTGTTACTATTAACACTCTTACAACTAACATTATTAGATAGTTATTTATAAAGCAGTACTAAAATTGTCAAATGTATGACTTGTTCTTTCATTTAGAACATTAACTTGAGGGGAAAATTCCACTAGCTGCATTAAACACCCTATTTACTAACAGGTGTCATTTCGGAGAGATAATTAACATTAATTCCTTTGTCTTTAATCGGAAATGATCATCTACTTGATAAAACCAAATGAAGCTTTGAGGTTGAGAACATTTTCTTTTATTGTATATTATTTTTATAAAAATCTAGCTGTGAGGTAAATTAAAAATTTGCACATTTTGTGGAAATACCACTGAATAACCAGCACAACCAGTCTCTCAGTATATGTTCCTTTAGTCTGTGATCCATTAAGCTCAGAGAGCTTGCACAGTTATTTAGAGTTTGAATAGTTTCTAATGACAATGAAAACAACAAATTCCTAGCTAAATATGTCAGACTTTCTTAGAAAATACAACGTTAAAATGTTTCAGAGAAGTGGGAATTTATTCTAGATAGAAATCAAAGAATTCATCAGTTCTTCAGTTCAGTTGAGGTGGCTTGGGCATCTGGTTAGGATGCCTCATGTACGCCTCCGTGGCAAGGTGTTACGGGCATGTCCCACCGGGAGGAGACTTAGAGAGAGACCCAGGACACGTTGGGATTAAAGAAAGAAAGAAAGAAAGAAAGAAAGAAAGAAAGAAAGAAAGAAAGAAAGAAAGAAAGAAAGAAAGAAAGAAAGAAAGAAAGAAAGAAAGAAAGAAAGAAAGAAAGAAAGAAAGAAAGAAAGAAAGAAAGAAAGAAAGAAAGAAAGAAAGAAAGAAAGAAAGAAAGAAAGAAAGAAAGAAAGAGAAAGAAAAAGGAGTGGAGAGAAAAAAATCCAGTTGACTGCAATCCTTTGTTATTGTTGTAAGGATCTGTTTTATCTGCTGAAAGCACCACCCCACTCATATATCAGGACAAACGTGTTTTCAGCTGAAACCTTTAATAATACAGCTTGTGATGGATTATTTACAGTGGTCAATAGAATGAATGGCATTAGGGGTGTAGCTAAACATCTAAGGTAAGGTTTATAAAAGCTTGACACTTGATCAGCTCAGAAGACTCTGAAGATGGCTCTCCAAAAGCTCTCCGAGTGTGTTGCCTTGATCATTCTCATATGCCATGGTAAGAAAGAAATATTTTCATTTCATATTTTCCTTTCTTTTCCTCTGAGTAATATCAATTGCTTTTGCTAAGCACCAGTTTGGGAGAAAAGCTACAATTGTCTGTACAGTACAAAGAAATGTTACTGTTGTTATACTTAAAAAGTCAAGTAAGAAGAAATCATTAAAAACAAAAGGATCATTTATTTAAAACCACTTATTTAAATAGCTAAAGGTTTTTTCACCAATGTCATCTTTGCCAGGGAAGCATTACTTCATTACATATGATATGCTTAATAATTAGCCTTAAAAAAATTCTTTATTGATTTTGGAGTACATTTGAGTACATAATTTGTCAAATTGATATTAGACTATGTCAGTGTCACACTGTTAATCTAAATAGGCCAGCTACATAATCCTTTTGAAGAAATAGCAATAAAATATATTCAGTTTTGAAGGTATATAGATTATTGTAAAGGCCGGTTTAAATTCACCTTCCAAGCAAGATGTATTGTTGTAAGATCGGTGCATTCACAAACTCCCAAAAAATACATCTTGCCTGGAGCCAGCAGATGTGTTAGCATTGATACAGATGATGTTGTTACAGATGATGAACAGATCATTGATGTTTCGGGTCAATGAAATGCAGTGACGTGTATGATGTCAACACATCAGCATGAGGCAGAAGGTTGAAGCAAAACAAAGCTAGCTGCATTAGATTTAGCTGCAATACTTTTGCAAAAATTAGAAAAGGATTTAGTTGGTTGTACAATATGTCCTCTCCTGCCATTTGACAAGCACAGTTAATCCCATACAAGCCAATTTTACATCCTACACTGAACAGAAGACACCAAAGGAGGATGCTAGTATTTTCTCTGGTGGAAGGTTCATACAAAAAGCCTCCCTGACCTAGCACTGATAGCTCGTAATGTGCTTACAACCAAGATCAATCGCTGCTAGTGAAAGACAGTCTTTGTCTGTTCAGTATTCAGGAATGAATAGCACCGCAAGTGACTTTGGACAATACAATTTTTTATGAAAAACACTTAAGTTCAAGACCTAAACATCTGTGACTAAACACCATGGTTATAAAATCAACAGTGACATCGGAGTAAGTTAATTTAAGCTCATATATTTTTGGAGGTAAAGGCTCCTGAAATAATAATAATTTAACCTTATTGATCCACATTGGAGAAATTTACCTCTGCCTTTAACCCATTCAGTTGAGGAGCGGCCATCGTGGAGCGCCCGGGGAAAACTCGGGTGTTAAGGATCTTGCTTAGAGAGCCAGAGTGGCAGTCTGTGGGAGTGGGTTTCGAATTCACAATCTCAGGATTCCAGGCTCTATGCCCTAACCACTAGGTCATCACTCCCCTAAATAATTATGTTGTGCATTCTAAATAGTATTTTTTTTTTTTTTTCAGCTTTTTTAAAAGAAATGTAAAGATATGCATGCCAGCGTGAGTGTTTTTTTGAGAAAAAGAAAAGGCCATGCATTCAGCTTGTTAACTGCGGCTCACCTGCATGTGCAGTGCATATGAGCATCAGCCGATGCCCTCTCACCTCTGTTGTTAAGACAATACTTTTGCTGATGCTACATTAATGAAGTACATTTTGACTAAAATCGCCTAATGAAAATGACTAGCTGTGTGAATAAGTTTTGATCACAGGTTGGGTTGCGTCTATTACTTAGAGTTCTGGGCGGGGTTTGTAAATAAGCATAGTTCCTAGAAGAACAGACCGGTCTCGGCATTATTCACTTGGCCTGCTAGTGCTATTTCTTTTACACCCAATATGAATAAATATAGCTTTGAGGTAAAGAAACATTCTTGACATAAATTGCTTAAAATGTAGCTGTAAGGTTACCTTGTCATAGTGTGATGCCATAGTGTGATCTGAACGCCTGAACAAAAACATATATACATTCATTGTTGCCAGTGATAGACATAAAAAAAAAAATCCTTTCCAAATATGGCTGACTTTTTCAGAAGATATGAAACTCTTTCAGGGAAAATGGAAAACGTTTAGACTAAGATGTTAATGTAATAGATTTGCCTAACTGTAGGTACTAAAATACAGGGAGTTGGCACTATGTTAACTTATTACATAATAGCAGGTTTTAAGACTTAAACAGAATAACTGAAAAGGATGACTTAGGTTTCAGGTCCACATCCACAGGTTGTGATGTGATTGAGGATAATAATGCCACATTTAATGTAAAAAGCAAATTGAATAAATTAATACGACATTTTGCTACATTATGCTGGTGGAGATTCTCAGTCATAGTCATTCCAAAGAAAGAATTTTGGTTTGGTTTTAAATGTACTTGGATTTTGTGTTTGGAGAAAATCCCCTTGAGTTTTTCAGAGACTCCAGCAACATATGGGTTGTGTTCTGCTGCATGTCTTCTGGATTTCCTTGCTGATATGACAAATTCCCAGTTTGGGTATGCTCAGTCCCAGCCCCTGTACAGCAGAGCAAAGGACCTCGCCTATTCAGCCAGGCCAAGGATTCCCTCTAACGACCGACCTTTCAGACACTTGGGCATGGGGCATTGCAGGCTAACAAAAGAAGCCAAAACGACCCCCATCCCAAGGGGGTGGAGCCCGTCGTTCATTTCAGTTTGCATGTTTTTAAAACAAACACAAGGCTTCGTTGGGCTACTGTATAAAACCTCAAAATCACCACTATTCCTGACATTTTGATTTGAGATAGCTTCCTGGATGGGAATTGAAACGTCTTTAAACTTCGAAACAAAGTCCAGTAGATTGTTTTTCATTTTCTTTTGTTGGAATTTGCTACAGTAATTTACAGGGATGTTATGTAGTAGTGTAAATGAAAAAAATGTCTCTCAAAATAAGCATGACCTGGTAAAACCTTAAACAATCCCCAAGATATTTGGCATCACTGCAAAAAAAAAATTATTAAAGAAAAACATTGAATAAAAAAATATCAGTTCTCTTTTTTCTCATGCTTGTTATAAGTCAGGTCAAAACCTAATGTGGTTTTAAACTTAAAATATGGGGAAAGAAAAAGAAAGCAGAAAAAGCTTATGAAGTTTTTGTGCAAAGTCATCCAAGTTGCTTTAGTGGAAAATTTTCAACACAAAACCTAAGCATGCATTTGTTCTGTGTTCCAGGTTGTCAATCACAGGAGCCAGGTAAGTTTTAAATATCAGTTCTACAAGTTTCACCATTTCTTTCTTCTCAGCTTATGTGCTGTCTCTGCATATTTCAAGACAATTAGTTTCAGTTTTTTCCATCAGCTCACCTCAGTCCTACATGTATATGTAATTTTCTCCAATTGTAACTATGGTAACAGTATCATTTTAGGGCTGAAACAATTAAGTTGATTAATCATGATTAATCAATTATTTGAATAATCATGATGTAATTTAGTAATCATTTAATCATTAATCAGAGTATAGCGACTAACTGACAGAGCAACCCACTTCGAGCAGTAACTATACCAAAATTGTAAAAAAAAATTAATAAATTCGCCTTTAACAACATTGTCTGTCAATCTGCTCTATTCACTCTTCAAGACAATTTTTTTTATTTTCTAAAACTTCTAACAACGTGGAAAGAATATATATATAAATATATACACACACACACATATATATATATATATATATGTATATATATATATATATATATATATATATATATGTGTGTGTGTGTGTATATATATATATATATATATAATATAAACAGTGTTGGGCACGTTACTTTGAAAAAGTAATTAGTTATAGTTACTAGTTACTTCTCCCTAAAAGTAACTGAGTTACTAACTGAGTTACTCCACAATACAAGTAACTAGTTACTAGTAAAACTAACTATTGCGTTACTTTTGCGTTTCCCGCTCCCGTAACCCTCACCACCCAGCCCCCACCTTCTCGCCGTGTGTTTCCAAAGCCAGCTGAATAGAGCGGACGACAAAGACAAGAACCTGCAGAGAGTTTAGCATTTATTGCAACTCAGCGTAAATTACATCAGGGGGGAACGCCATGTGAAGTTTTTTAACAGGGCATTCAGATCTGGTGACTATATGAAATTATTAACTGGGGATGTCTAATTCTGAAATCCTGTGTGTTTGGGGTGTTATAGATACTGCAACATCTATCTATCCATCTATCTATCTAGATCTATACTCTGTGTGTGACATAAAATATGGATCTCCATCCCTGCCACAAAGGCCATCAAATAATGTTTAAAATAAAAAATACAGTAGGTTGAAAAGGCAGAGTATCCATCCATCCATCCATCCATCCATCCATCCATCCATCCATCCATCCATCCATCCATCCATCCATCCATCCATCCATCCATCCATCCATCCATCCATCCATCCATCCATCCATCCATCCAGATTTCTCCCTTTCTCCATTTAGGCTATCATTTGATCGTTCACGCTCTCCATAGTTCTCCTGTGGCGCGAGCACAGGGCGACTGTTGCGCGCCTTTAGCGAGCATGCGCGTTTCCTGTTGCTTGCGCGGTGAATCGTGCCGCCTGCGCTGTGCGGAGATGCAGGGGAAACCGTATGTGATGGGGAAACGCAGCTCGGCGTAGCACCGGTATTTCCATCTGGAAAACGCTGTTTTGCTGCTGGAGTCCTCCTCACTCTCCATCTCTCTGTGTGTGCTGTACGTTAACACCCACCAGCAGAAACACCCACCTACCCAACTGACAGACGGAATCTCACTATACATCAGCCAATCTCATCCTCCCCTCTCTCATGACAAGGCGCACACGAGTCCTATCATGAAAAAAGGTTCATTGTGCGACCTGAGTAACGCGCAGTAACGGGGTGTCTGCAATGGTAACAGTCAAAGTAATTAGTTAGATTACTCGTTACTAAAACAAGGTAACGGCGTTAGTAACACCTTTACTTTCAACGCCGTTAGTCCCATCACTGAATATAAACCTAACCATATAGCCAAAATCTAACCAAATTTTTACTTTTCATATTATTTATAAATCTCTGTGAATTTTCACAAATTTTGTACCAATCTAGGATTTTCTGGAGTCACCTAGCTTGTCAAAAATAAATCTTTATATTGAGTTTGATTATAGACATTTCTGTGTTTACCTGACCAGCTCATCTAATCAAAGTAAATCACTAAAACAAAGGAGTTTATACTTTTTTATTCAACATGAATGTTGGCAAAAGGTAAATCAATCGATTGCTAACCATCCCTAATGACATCTCTGGTATCATGTTATCGAATTTAGATATGAACCATTTTAATCTAGTCCATCTCTTTTCCCATGTTAGAATGTGGTTATGTTGCTACAAAAGCCCGAATCGTTGGAGGTCAGGACGCAATCCCTGGGCATTGGCCTTGGCAAGCAAGCTTACAGGACGCCGGTTTCCACTTTTGTGGAGGATCCCTGATCAATGAACAATGGGTGCTGACGGCTGCTCACTGTGTAGGAAGGTGAGATTACACTCAAAGTCCTTTAGCATTGTTACAATTATCTTGTCATGGGTGGCTTTTCTTTCCTTCTTTTAGCACAGGTGTGGACATACATGAATAACAGTGCAAGTTCTCAAAACTTTTTAAATGTAAAAAATGGTACTACCAACTGGGTTACTGGTTTTGGGGACTGTAGACCAGCCAACCACATTCAAGAAGAAAGCTATTTTTGTCTTTTCTCTTAAATCCGTTAATCTACTGTTCAACTATCTAAGAGCACAGACATCAATTGTATGCAGTGCTCTCTATTTGTGCTCTTCATCATACTCCCTAAAAAAGGGAAACCTCAGTTCAAAACTGACTATGTCTTGTAATCCCATACACTTGTTTATATGATTCCATTGAATTAAGAAAATTCAGTAACTGAGTTAATAGTAACTTTATTATGGTCAGATTTCAAATAAGTGTGCATAATAAGATCAATACCATTTAATATCCCCATTGTGAACTTGCTTAACAGAATCAAGTAGTTTGGTGATGCTTAAATATGTTCAAATGTCACAATTTGTTTAAAACTAAATCAATATTTCATCACACAAAACCAATATTTGCTGACCGGGTATGATCATGAAAATGTATAAATAGTGAACTCACCATTCTCACCAATTTAATGTTTTTTTTGTGTATTTTAGTGATATTCTTACTGCTGAAGTCCATCTGGGTGTCCACAATTTATCAGATCCCAACCCAAATGAAGTGAGTCGGGGGATTGTACAAGCCTTCTGCCATCCTGGCTATGATGCAATTACCTTTGAGAATGACATATGCCTGCTGAAGCTGTCAGCTCCTGTCAACTTTACAGACTACATAAAGCCTGTATGCTTAGCCTCAGGGGAGAGCACCTTTCTTGAGGGTACTAACAGCTGGGTCACTGGATTTGGAGACCTAGGTAAGTTCCAAAAAATGTATCTTGGTTATCAGTACTGTTTGTAAATTCCCAGCAGAACACTGAAATATTCCTTCACTTAGGTAACGGGATGGCACCTGACATCCTGCAGGAAGTAGAAGTGCCAATTGTGGGAAACAATAAGTGCTCATGTTACAATCAAGAATTCACCATCACAGAAAACATGATTTGTGCAGGCCTTGATCTGGGAGGAAAGGACTCATGTCAGGTGATCTGGATTTTCTTTAATCTGTAGGACATAATCTAGTCTAATGTCTTGCCTGGTAATGACTGAAAAAGAAATATCTATTCATCTTTCTGTCCAATTATCCAATCGGCCATCTACTTTCTATTTTTCTCTCTTAATACCAGGAGACCACAAGAAAAAGGCACTTAATAGTGTCTGTGTCCGGATGTCCACCCTAATCACTATATAGGGCACTCACTATATAGTTGTTACACCATTTTAGATGAGTGTATGAACAGCTAGTGGATGCAAAAGTAGTAGACTCGAAATTTCCCACTATGAACCTTGAAAAGTTGAGATCATCCATGGTCACTAGATGAGCAGATACATCCCAAAATAATTTGTGAGACCTATCCTCTCCTGCATCATGGTTTTTGTTGTGGGCCGGTGAGAAAGACTAAAGATGGCACATGCACCATGCAGGGAGTTATGTGACCAATGGGGAACAAAAACAGTGATCATCTGCCCGAATGGTCAGTTAACTGAGTTTACTATAAAGTCAACTGTATAGTCCAGTGGTGGCTGGTGGAGTTTTTTCCAGGAGGGGTTATAATTAAAAATGGACTAATACCAAAAATCAATCAAATGTATACTAAGGTATCACACCAGTATATTTACATGAATGCCAACAACAAAAAACATCATTATAACATTTTCTGAACAGTGCTTTAAATTAGTCATACCTGTCTTAATCCATGCTGGGTTGGATCCTGACATTTGACAAAGAATGTAGGTAAAGCAGAATAAAGCGTGGGCCTCGCTGCATGCAGTTAGCCAAGCCTTGTTGCTAAATAATTATATAAACCCGTCAATCTGTCTCATTTAGTAACATATGACTGTGAAGTCAGCACTGTGGCGGTAGGTGGTGTGCAAATGGAGCTGCACCGCAGGATGGTCCTATCTTTTGCTTTGCAGAGGAGCTTCTGCACAACTTTAACAAGAGTCTGTGGGCAAAGATTTTTGCATCCCAGGGGCAAAAATATGTCACCATTCCCACAACCAATGAAATAACTTTACTTTTCATTATATGCTATTTTGAAATATTTTAATTTTATAATTATATTTTTATCCAGTTCATTGGGCGGGGGGCACCACCCTGGCACTGTCTATTGGCCAGCTGCCAATTATATAGTCCCTGCACTATATAATGATAAAGAGTTTAAAGGCTTAGGGTGGACACTCACACACAGCCAGTGCCTTTTTTAAAGAGAAATTAGGAAACAAACAATATGAATAAAGTACATCATCCTTATGATTTAAATCTAACTGGCTTGTCTTTCAATGCAAAACCACTGCCACCTGACGAAAGACATAAATCTGAGAAATTAAGTATAAATAAGTCAATGTTTTAATATCTGTTTTCATTTAGAAAGCAATTATTCTCCAAGTAACTACCGGTATGTTAGACCTAAATGACAATCCATTAAAAGTCTTCTTGCTGAATAAAAGCAAAGTGCTTTCTCAAAACATTTACAATCTTATTTTAAATCATAATTATCTCATTAGTTGGGGACATATCTTCTAAAACTCTAAATGTCTGAGTGACCAGCATTTGGGTCATGCCTAGTTTTCTGTACAAACTGCCTGTTATGTATTAAGCCTCAGCCTTCATTCACAAACACTATGAAAGATGAAGAAAAAACATACCAATGTTTCTTCAAAAAATACTGCAAAACATTTGGAAAAGCTGATTATATGCTGGGAAAATATACTTTACCTCAATGGAATAAAAGTCTAACTCTTCATGTGTAATTTAATTTCTAAGGAAGGATTGCATTAGATGCAGTATGATTCCCAAAGACACTATACGCCATTGAACTTTAGAGCTGCAAACTTGCATTGTGTAGGGCAATTTTTAATGCCAGACTTCATATGACCAAAGCAAATGTACATGCAGAAATATGAAATAAGTTTAAATAAAAGTCTTTAAAAAAGTTTGGCTGGATTTTAAGCAACACAATAACCCTTACCACGCAGTCAGGATTTTTTAAGAAGGTTTAGAGAAACAAAATAAATCCACTAAAAAATAACAAATAGCTGAATCTAAAGAAATCTATAACAAGTTATGTCAACTTTGTTTAAGCTGCAAACCTAATGTAGCTTAATACATTTGTTATAATTTCTTTGTGGATGTAAATTACGTTTATTGTTTTTTAAAACCTTGGTAAATTACATTTAAACCTTTACAAAATATGATTACAAAGGACGCAAACGCAAGCAAGTTTTCTGTATCATTAGCGTGCTGTTGTTTGCTTGATATTTCATCAACAATTTGTGTGGCCAAAATGGGCAATGTTTTACTTCCTTTGTTTTGTCATCATAAAGGAAAAAAAAAACATCTTATCTATTCGCCAGTTTTAACTCCTCATTGCGGATGTCACAGCTTGTAAACCATAAAAAGTGAAAAATGACCAAACCAGAACATGTTATTGTTTCTGAATTTAATACAAAAACATAAGTGCTCACAATCACTTAAAAAAACTCTTCTGTTTCATCTATAGGGAGACTCAGGAGGACCACTGGTGGTTTACAATGGGTATGTGTGGGTTCAAGCTGGAGTGGTGAGTTTTGGAGATGGTTGTGCCATTCCAAAGAAACCCGGAGTCTACGCTCGAGTGTCACAGTACGAGAGTTGGATTAGGGACACTGTAGCTGCAAGTGAACCAGGCTTTAGTACCTTCACCTCCACAGGCACCAACTTTGACTTGTTCTTCATCTGTTCTACCTCTCCCTTGCCCACTGACGGTAGCATTTTTGACAGTGCTGACAACTTGAGTCACTTTACTCACCTTGTGGCTCTGTCTGCACTTGCTCTGGTTCTCCATATCTTTGTTAGTGTCAGGGGAAATTGAATGTATTAATTATGTTTCTGCTGTGCATTCATTAATGAGGTTGATTCTTTTTCCCTTTCATAGTCCTTCCCTGCAGCTGTAGTCACCTATTTCTTATTTACTTTGATCATTTAAAATGACATATGAAGGGTTTATCTAGATTATAGTACGGAATTTAATGCCGAAATCGTAGTCTATAAAGCTGTATTAAATCCAAATTAAAAATTTTAACTAATCAAGCACTTTGATATAGCTGGGTCTTAAGCAAATATGGGCTCATTTGCACTGATTTGTGAATAAATGTTTACTTTTAATCAAGCAATTCAAATGTCTATGCGTTGTGTTTGTTTTTTTAATTGATTTACTACTATCTGGGAGTAAAAATAAAATGCTTTTTAAGTTTTAGTTGCCTTTAAATATTCAGCATTTTTCCACTGATGAGAATTAAATTAAACTGTTAAATTTCAATATTGAAAAGAAATCTAAAGGACATGACTCACCAGGGCACAGCAGCAGGGCTGATGCTGCTTAGCTTCTCTAACAGATTACAGAACAATTATGCATTTTAAACGTTGGACGACCACCCACTAATTTTTATTTAGTCTCGTCTTGTTGACGAAAACTCACACTTATCATTAGCCATGTTTTACTCATCAAAGATTTAAGATGAACTACAGCTACAGCTCCAATGGGGGAATTAGTCATTTTATGAACAGTGACAAGAAGAAAATTGGCAGAAATGTCTCTCTAGAAATGATCTGGTGGCTGACATTCAAAACCTTATTGCTACAAAACAGACTGCAATATTTCTGTTGGCGTTTAGGGAACTTTCAGATGTTTGAAAAGGATGGAGGAGAGGAACTCCCTTGATGTCTACCTGGCTGGAACAAAATAACTTCCCTGCTGTTGGCCTGCAATGCTAAGCCTCTAATACTAAATGCTGGAGAAAACTCAAGCAGAGGTATAGGTCTGGCAAAAGTCAGGTAGAGTTTCTACCTAAATAATTTTTTTTTATTTGATGATGATTGATCATTTCATGTGTTTAATGATGAGCAAACACAAAGCTAGTAAAATGAGCGGTATAGTATGCTATTAACAAGTTTGAGCTATTGCTTACAAAGCAAGAACAAGCTTTTCACTAGCTTTAACACTGATATGACATTAATGTCCATATGTTTTCTCATATGCTCAATAGATTTTGATTACCAAATTATAATCAAAACTCATTTAATGGGAATCCTTATGTCTGCTATCTGCTCCCTCACAAAAAGTAGGTTAAGAATCAGTTGATTAAAGGTAATTCATTTCTGATTAGGCAAATAATTTAATAAAACATTGTTTGCAGTATTTTATTTCTATTTTATGTTTTATTCATCTCCTGGATTTGAATTGTGAATTGTTTTTAAAACATCTTAATTTCTCGACATTAGTTTAAAGCTAATTTGATCTCACCCAAAATTCTTCAAGATAAACTTTGGTTCTCAAAAACAGAATTCCAGATAGTTTCCCTTCTAACTTGAATCCTTATCCAGTTGCCTTTGCACAGTTTGGGTGATATCCATTTGATCAGAAAACACTAGCAAGACTTTTTTTTACTGTACTTTTTTTCCTCACCAGGGTACACAAGAATTTGACCTGTGCGTATGAATGCGGATGTAGCATTATTGAACATTATCAATTTGCCATGGTGTGTTTACCACCATTTTTAGATTAAAAGTTACACAAGCAGCAACATTTACTGGCTGCCTACAGGTGAGTCAAAAAGAGTTTTGGTGGAATTAGATTTGGCATGGTGATGGCAAGGTATTGATCTCAGTACAAAAGAAGATTCAAAATCATGTTTCATGGAGAGCTCGCTCTTGTAGCCTTTTCTGTTTTGCACATTGGACCCAAACACCAAAAAACAGGCCACTCTCACTCTACAGATTTTTGAAATAGTGACTGATTCAGACCTTACACTGTGGGTTCTTTATTGCCGCACTGTGGGTTACTTTCTCTTTCAACCAGTGAGCGTCACTATGGGTCACTTCTAAATGTAGTCTCATGAAAATGAGTGTATTTAGGTATTTTAAAATGTGCTTTTTTTAAAGGTTCTTTTTAAATTGATTTCTACAGCTAAAGAAATTGACAAAATGCATGTGTTTGTTCAAGTCTGTTCTGCTGATCTGCCACCAAATAATGAGTAATAAGAGTAATAATGAATAATAATTGCTCCAAATATGCTTACTGTTCTCAGACGGTGAATAGAAATGCAAAATCATCCTGTAAAGGGAGTATTATTCTATCATTTTAGTTAGTATTCATATAGTATAATGAAATAAGGCTTTGGTCTTTGTGCAGGAAGCTTTTCTGTATTAAAAGCCCTTGCTATGACAGCATTTTTAAAGGCTGTGTAAAGTAATACTTTTGTGTTCTCACTTTGTTGCACCGCAGAAATATGTTTAAATAATCACCCATCTTAATTTGAATACAAATGAGCATATATAATGGTGTCAAAAGTAATAAAAACACATCATTTTTCTCTGCCCTGAGATGCTTGGGATATGTATGCCATGACTGCTGAAGCCAGGCCTCTGCTGAAGGCAGCTGCATGACAGCATGAGGCCACACCTTGTTCCTGAGGTTACGGTGAACATGAAAGTGCTATGGGTTCTGCCAAGAACACTATTTAACCAAAGGCGTTTCAAAGGGGAGTGCCTTGGAGAAGCTGAACTTGGATCAAATTAGGGTTTCATCATAGCACGATAGTAATAAACACGTAGGCTTTAAATATATCAATAAAGTTCTTATTTGTCCAGTACAACCAATAAATCATATGCCTGCTCTTTATCTGGTCACCATACAGTACCTTCAGCCCATTCCTTTTACTTTCCTTTATCTTTATTAAAAACAGATTAGACGTGTCATATGAAAATGTGTTTTTCCACCTCACAAATAAACATTTTGTCGTCCGTAGTGTATTGGTAAAGTGAGATTTGCTGGTGTCTCTGTGCTGGAGGTGCAGGTTAAGTTTTTTTGTGGTGTCAGGGTAAAATTTGATCAGTACAATGTTGTGTGTAACTTTGAAGCTCCACCGGATCCACTTTGCTTTTAAGCAACTGAAATCCTGCCTGAACGATCCGTTCTAGTCTAGAGTGACATGGAGTTGAAGTGTCAGGCATGGAAAATAGAGCAACCAAGGAATTTAGAGATGCGTCCAGTGGCCGACGCTGTTGGGATCCTTCGCTCTGAATGACTAGTGTGCCTAAGATTGACCGTGGCAGCAGGGAAGAAGTGAAACCTCACCCACCAAACAAAAATTGGTTGAAAAGACAATAAAAAGACAAAATCATGTAAGTCCAAACAACATCTACATTTGATTGAAAAGTGAAAGGTGAAAGACTGTAATTTTCAGATCTTTGAAAAGATATTGAAAACTTTTAATGTTTTTTTTTGTTTCTTTTTTTTTTACTATCAAAGGTATGCAGACAGCAAATTGGGTTACAAGACAGGGTAGAAACATTTGGCAAAGTTCAGCAGGGCCAGGACTCAAACCTGCGACAACTGGTCTATGGGTCTGTTCTAGACTATAACGGACCGACCAAATTTAGTCTAAAAACCGACGTCTAAATGACGTCTGGTGTTTCTGGAGCAGGGCTATACACCCAAAAGAAATCAGACATGCAGCGATATTGAAACCACAATTTAATTCTGCTTCCACAGTGAAATCATAATCAGGAAGAGAGATCCAGATAGCATATAGCTTCAACTAAACCACTGATTATGGCCGAAATCTCAAAGCTATACCTTTGGAGGCACATAAAGTAGGTAACTTATTCAGACTTTTATGACCTAAAGAACATTTCCAGGATTAAAGGACTAATTTCCACCCATAGTATCTCATATAGTATACTCAAACTGTCTGCAAGCTAGTATAGTGTTTATAAAAAGCAATCACTTTTTACCTAACCCCAAACCAATCTTAGATTTGGCAGAATGTTATTCATTTATCTTTTTTTTTTAGCATAATTTCCTTTATGTTTTGTGTCTGATAAAATATTTTATATGTTCTGTTATAGTTTAAGAGCACCAGTTGGCTACGACATGGGATGCAGCATTTGTACTCTGATTGACATTAACAATGACTACAGTTGTGACTATAGAGTGCAGCTCTGCTTTCATAAAATTAAAGAAAATAATCTCACCGTATTATTTATTTGTTTTTATATTGCTTTTTTGTTTTGCTTTTGAAAGATCTAACACCGGGGAAACGAGTCATTGTTTGGATATGTGACAGACTGACACAGAGGTGAAAAATGTGGCAGTTCCTGTAAAGATTGGGTCACTAAGTATAAACAAAGCAAATAGGGCAGTGTTCTAAATAATCTAGGTGAAACGAGTTACATTTCAAACCTAAGCTGAACATGTAAAAAAACTGCGTAATAGTTATATGTTCACTTTATGGAACATCAAATACAATTACCAGGCAGACCTAACTTATTTTTAGCATTTGCTGTAGCCTAAGAAACAGGAAACTCACTGTACTTTTTCAATATTTTACAACCCGAATGGGCTATATTCCCAACTCCACTACTTTCCGAACTTTAGCCAGCTCCTTTATTTCCATACGAAGACCAACTGATTACTCCAGATCATTCTGTCCAGTTATGACATACAGGAAGCAAAAGGAGCTGGCTGAAGGTGCAGAAAGTGGTGGGGTTGGGAATATATATCTGCAGTGTTTTTCAAAACTGGTGCTCAAGCTACACTACCCTGCAAGTCTCGCCTGTTTTCCAGCTTTCATTTATCTGTTACCATCTGATACCAGCTGGGGAAAATAAGACATTTTATGTGGTTATTTATATCAGCTACACAAAGATGCTGTTTTTAACTCTTAAGGGAGGACATACAAAGTATGAGTTTTGGTACAGTTTGGGCCAATTATACAGCCATGTAAGAATTTTTTGGACAGGCCAGAGGTTCAGCTTTATCATGTGCTATACATCACCTAGTATTCAGGACGTAATGAGAGGCAACTAG